TTATCCCTCTCTCTCTCGATCTGTCTCTCTCTCACTGTCTCTTGCTCTCTATGTGGCAGGTAGTTTGACTGGCCAATTGTGATTACATGAGCCATAATCAATCATTAACAACGAAGCACAAATGTAAGCCGCAATTATGTGGCAAGTATATTAAATTGCCATCAATGTGCGCTTGTTAGTAAATGATGCAGAAAATGCCGCTTTTACTTCTGACTGCATTTCTTCGAGATGCAGCAGGCTGTGGGGTGATTGTGTGGTGCATTTTGTGCGCATTTGTATGTGAGTGTGTGTGTGTGTGTGTGTGTGTGTGTTTCTGTGGTTTATGTGGCACTTACTTACGCGCTTATTTGCCTGCGAGGCACTTGAGGGTCTTGCATCCGGCGGCGACTGCTTCAGCTTGTCACAGCGTGTAAAATTATGTCAACGCTTGTCAACTTTTATATAAGTATGTGTGCATATGTGTGCATGTGTATGTGTGTGGCAAGTAAGAAAAAGTTCAGCCAGCATACCCTCTTCCCATTCTACCCCATTGAAGTGCCTTTGAGTGTGCATTGAGCGAGTAAATGAAAGTTTCTGTGTGTGTGTCGCCTCCATTTGTTATTGACTATGCATAAAGAGTGCAGTTGCACTGCCAGTTGCAGTTGCACAAAGTGCCCGACTTGTCTGGGAAAAAAAACTTTTTAATGTTAAATGCAAAACTTAGCGACTGGCAACTTTAATGTGGGCACTTCTGGTAACCCTTCAAGTGCCATTGCAACACACACACTGTTATTGGCACGCCCACCCATTTCCGCTCGGTTCTTATTAAAACTTATGCTCGATTTTTTCCGCAAATTGTCTCAGCTAATTAGCTTTCTTGGCAGTCTGGTTTTTGTTTTTGCTCGTTCTATACACTTTCAGTGGGTATAATTTAATTGGCATTAATTTCATAATGAGCCAAACATTCAAATATGAAGGATAATATCTACAGGATTCAACCACTATATCACATAGCACTCATGGCAAGTATTAGTTGCAAAACAACTCCAGTTACCATGAATAACTATTAGACTATCATATCTAAAAGCTCCGAGGAGAAGTAATCGGTAAAAAGATGAGATTTTATATTAAAAAAACTTATTCTTATACTTATAGAAAAACATTCCAAACCAAACTCGCACGAATAATGCTGTTAATATATTGAAAAAATAAAATTATCAGCATCAGATTAATATAAATATTATTGCAACATTAAAATATTTATTAAAATTAATAATTAAAAACAAATGTAAGCTGTTGGACTCCGGTAAGCAAGGGTATTTTTGTTCGACTTGCTTGAGAGAGTTCTTCTCTGTGGCATTTTAATTTCGTTTCATTATTTTTTTGCATTTTGGGGCTTGCAACTGAAAGTCTTGTCGCTTGTGCCCAACTCTACCCACTGCCTGAGTTTAACAAGTTTTACACATAATTTTATGTCGCATACCACTGCAGCCGCATCGATGCATGATATTTCGCCTTACCCTGTTTGAAATTGATCTCATCCACTGCCTCAACGCTTATGCTAAACCAAGCCAACGAAAATGTAATTTTCAAAGTTGTAAACAAGTCGTATTCGTAATTACAAATATATATATATATTGTAACGTACTAAATGTTCATTAAATGTATGTAATTAAATTAGTAGATTAAAACCATTTAAAACAAATTCATTTTTAAATTTCCTCCCTTTTTTTCAATTACTTTTATACTTGTTTTGAAGCACTTGTAACTAATTGATCAATTAGTGTTAGATGCAATTTATAGAGTATATATATTTATAAATCAGACACGCCATGCAGACATAACCAAAAAAAGAAGTGGGCTACCTCCTATTAAAACTGACGCACTACGTTGTTAAGAGAAAGAGACACTCTCACACCAATCTCACTCTCTCTCTCACACACACACACACACACACACACACACACACACACACAAACACACACAATCACACATACTAACACATTAAGCAATATATATATATATATATCTCATACACAACTTATATGATAAGTGTCTACTCTTTTCCTTTTTTCGTCTCTTTTTACGCTCTGAAATTTCATTTTCCGATAACAACCACAACAAATGCGCCCAACAACAACAACAACAACAACAATAACTACACAACCATGCACAACAACACAACAACAACCACAACAATTCTCAATTGCAATGTGTAAACACCAACACCAATATCACCATCACCAAACCACCAAAACCACCCAACCACAATCAGAGCGTGCCAGTGCTGCGCACATTTGGCGGGCATCACATCGCGTAGCGGGAACTTAATGTGGCCGGCACCACCAATATCAACAACAACAACACTGCAACAACAACAACAACAGCAATAGCAGCAACAACAACCACATGCTCATCATCGGCAACCACGATAACCACGCCCACTGGCACACCACCATTGCCGCCGCTTCCGAACACATTTATAGCCATCAAAACGAAATCCGACAGCAGCAACAACAGTCACAGCAACAACAGCCACAGCAGCAACAGCCTTACGTTGCACAGTGGCAACAATAGTTTTAAATCGAACGGCAACAACAATAACAACAACAGCAGCAACACAAACCGCAGATCACCAAATGCACATCAGCAGCAGCATCCACCGCCGTTGCCAATGAAAAATGGTGCCAAACAGCAGCAACAGCCACACAGCAACACTGACTCACATTACCAACATCTCAGCTACAACATGACACATCTGCCACACTTTAATTCGCGCAGCAACAGCACACTCGATCGCAAGCAGCTGCAACAGCAGCTGCAACACAGCGGCACCGACGGTGACTACTGCACACAGATAAATCCACACTATCTGCAGACATTCGACAGTCTCGATCATGATCATTACAGCGTTGCAAATCTGCATCCACATCGCAGTCAGTCAAAGTCACAGATTTATAGTTATGGCAGCAGTGGGACCGCCAGTGATAATTCCAATCAGCAGCATCCACAGTATCATAGCAGCAGCAATATAGCGCAAATTGAGCACCACTATCAGCACAATCACACACACCAGCAGCAACAGTTGCAGCAGCAGCACCAGCATCAGCATCAGTCACACCACCAACACCACAGTTTAAAACACACAAAACACGGCAAGGGTCACAAGAGTAAGCATAGCTCAAAGAACAGCAAATCACAGGATGATTTTAAAGTCATGCACAAGCAGCAACAGCAGCAGCAGCAGCAACAGCAACAGCAAAAGGGCAACAGCAGCAGCAGTAGTAGCAACAAACAGCAGCCCCACAAGCGCAACAACAACAATCAGTTGTTGGCACAGCAACCGCAGCAGCAACAGCAACTGCAACAGCAACAGAAGCAACACTATTCCAGCTCCAGTGATAGTTTACCGTTTGATAATAACTATTATTAAAATAAACACTCAAACACACACATACACACGAGCACACACAAATATACGAACACTATCCATCACGCTCACTCCCACTTATTGCTGTTTCAGTTGTAAAATGTTGTCGTTTGCCCAGAAACACAAAGTCATCTGTCTAATTGTCTAAATCGCACAGTTACAAGCAACTCAATGTGTCAACTTACACGCACTAAACACACAGATACACATACTAAACACACACACACACACACACCTTTCAATAGTTTTTCATTGTTCTATTTGCTAGCGCTTCTGCTTTTGCATTCAAGAAATAACTAAAAGTTTGAACAAACAGGCGGAAGTTGAGCGAGAATCAGTTGTTTATGTAAATGCTAATGGAATGCTAGCAGTCATTATATATTTATTTAATATATAGAAATACCTCGACTTACTTTCATACTACTGGCTAAACCGTAAATCTAATTTTCGATTTGTCATATGATTATGAAGTCAGGATGATATTTTGTTTAGGAAATAAATACAATTTGTCAACAACATTTTTTCACGTCGGTCATCGAGACGACATAAAACGAGGTAGCGAAAATCGAGGTCTTCCTATATAATTAAGTTGTATTTTTGCAATCACCAAAATCACCAAAGTATAAATGCAGGGCAAAAATTGTATAGTTTCAACTATCAATTTATGACTAGATATATAATAAATAGTAAATGGTTTGATTTCGGGCAGTAGAAATCCATGAATTCGACTCACAATACCAATTCTAAAGTCAATTTTAATCATCATAACCAAATCTTTAATTAAATCAATGAAGTAATTTGTAATCAAATGTATTGCCTTCAATTTAAAAGTTATGTTTTCCATTGCTTTACACAATAAAAGAACTGATTGTCGCTAAGGATTTGCCTCACCTGTTAGAACAAGTTAAAAACAGGCCAAAATTACACAATTTTGAATTTAAAAATTTCAGAATTTTCAATAGCTTCAGCATAAGCGCAGCAGTAGAAACATACACCAGCACACGTACACTGGAAAAAATACACACACACACACACACCCAAATACACATATTTGAAATCGATGCTGCTGTGCTAAATGGCAGCTGTTTGTGTTGTTGTTTATTATTGAATTGAATGGCAAGCCGCCACATAATATAACTAGATTTAGCTTAAATTAAAATTAACATTTAAATAATTAATTTCAATGGTAGTCGAAATACACATAATATATTGACGGAGAAATATGTATGCAGTGCATTAGTAAGAAACAAAAACAATTCACTTCAAATAGAAGTCAATTGATTTTGGGATTATTTCTGTCATCCAAAAGACATTTATTGTTAAATGTGGTCAATATGTGTATATACTTATAACTAAATAATAATAAGTCTAAGTATTTAAGATATATATTTAGAGTGTAAGCAACGGTCTACCCTTTACAAAAAAAATAACCCCAGCCCCCCCAAAAAAGAAGGTCCCTGCTCACCAAATCAACCACAATTTCTATGACTTTCTCTCAGATTCTGATGACCCTTAGCTAATCAGATATTTATTTATTTATTTCATTAACAATTTGCTTGAATTAAATGCCAACAACTCGTACACAACAACATCAACAACAACAACAACAACACCACATACAACAACAACAACATACAAAAATCCCCACTCAATAGTCATCTAGTTTGGCCACTGCCAGTGTCCACGATGAGCTGGGCAATCTGCTTTGGCAGCAGGAGGCCAGCGAATTCATTGAGCAACCATTCCCCTGCTTGGCAGCAGCACAGCGCTGTCCCCTGCCGCCCCTGCGCCACTGTCACGCCCACGCCCATCCACGCGCCAGCAGCGTTGGCAGCGGCGAATTATTATCAACACAGCAGCGTCATCAGCGTGACCTCTTCAGCGGTGATCTTGGCATACCACAAATAAACACACACGTCGGCAGCGTTGTGCACAACTTCGAAACGCTGGCGTTGCAGCGACGCCTCGCCGAGGCCGAGCAGGAGCGTGATCGCGAGCAGAGTAAGTATGAGATGCGCTCAAGCAGCAGCCATAAGAACAGCAACAGCAATAGTAACAGCAACAGCAACAGCAACAAATACAATCAAGTGAAGCGTAGATCGCAGGAGCTGCGTCTGCGTTTGCAGCATATGCAACGCCAGAAGCAACAGTTGCAATTGCAGGCACAACACTCACAATTAAATCACCCTCATCATCAGCAAGAACACTGCATCTTAAATGCACCCGCACCCGCAAACTCAATTGGCAAGCTAAGCAACAGTTGCAGCACCCAAAGTCTGGCCATACAATTGGCCAGCTTGCCACCGTCACGTCCAGCTGCTGCGGCACACTCGACGGAGCGGCTACCATATGGCAGCATTGCAGAGGATTATCGCAAGAATCTGTTTGGTACACTCAAGCCGCGACGACGACAGCAATCGAGCGCTGAGGAGCTACAGGATGAATCGTTTATTGTAAATGCGGCCTTTGACGAGATATTTGCGCGCTACGATGATGATGGCGACGAGGAGGGGGAGGAGCTGACGGAGGAACAGGGTCAGACACCGCTCAGTTATACAAACACCAACACCGATGACATATTCGATGATGAGCACATGCTGGTTAGCCTCAGCGAACTGGACGACGATGTGTTCGCGAGTCGCGCCCAAACGGGAACCAGCACACCCACAACTGCCACAGCTGGACGCACACCGAAGCACAGCCAGTCGTTGCAGAAGTACCCGGCACCAGCACCACCGCTACAACAACGCTCGAGCACGCTGACCAATCTCTTTGAGCGGTTGAAAGGCAACCCATCCACAACACCGACAGCAGCAAGGCACACTCTAAGCAAAACCCACTCGGAGCAGCAACTGCCGGCAGGAGCTGTAGCAACAGCGGCTACCGCCACAAAGCTGCACAAATATGCCGCACAGCCGCAACTCAACACGAAGCCAGATTTTAATCGTGGCTCCACGCTCAGTCAATCGTTTGTGCGGCAATTGAAACGTGTCTCCTATAAGCAGAAGAAGCGAGCACCACCCGCACCACCGCTCAAGCCACGCTCGAATGTGGCACATGTGACTCCGCTGCGCAATGCTCTCATCTTCCCCAAGCGCTCCAAGTCATCCAATGAGCTGCTGCTCGATGATCTCAATGTGCAGGCGCGTAAGTATTTTCGACGATCGGAGCATAGCGCAGCGGTTTAGTGAGGATTCTGGCGGACACCCCACTTTGTGCTCACCCCACCCCCCCCCCCTTTTGCTCACCCACCCCACCCCACCCCACTTGCCATTTGTTTAACTATTGTGTGTGACTGAAATGCTCAGCTGGATAATAATATTTCTATTGATTCGATTCTTGGCAGAGGCGACGCTTTTGTAGATTTATTATCCCGACCCAGTTAATGACCCCCGATTCCGATAACGATAACGATAACTGTACAATTTAGCGATTGTGGATTGAGCATAGTTAACCCGCCGCCGCCAAAGAGACAAAAAAAAACGGAAGCAAATAATTGCTCTACATGGAAACCAAAAAGATTTGCGCCATAATTGGATTGAAATTTGCCAGCACTCGTAAAACCAGCTAATTGAGTAAATTACAATAATGTTAAGTATTTATTTAAGCAGTGGTCGCTTAGAAATTAAAACAGTTATTAATTAACATATGAAATTACTTTATTTAGTCAAAAAATAAATAGACATTTCAAACAAAGCATATTACAATCACGTTAAGCACTTCCAAAAATTATTTTGTATCAACAACTCAAAAGCAAATCCATTTTAATTAGAACATTTAACAAAACAAATCAAAAACAAATTGATTAAAAACAGCTTTCATATACAATTTAGATTTACTTTAAGTACGATATTTACAACATCCAAAAACAAAACAGAAAAACAAAAAAACAAAAAAAGTAACGAAATATACAAGTACCATTTTTTCAATAGAAGCTCTAGTTCTTGGTACAATTGTACCCACAGTAGCAAACCTGATTACAATCATTCATGAATTATGCTCCAAGAAATATTCAACTATACAATTGCAGTCTTCTACATTTCGAGCGACCACTGTACTTATATTTCGCCTATGCGAATCTCGTTAATAATAAAACAAATAAAATAAAAAATTCATAAGCCAACAGCTTTCATGTACTTACAACATATGCATATATATGTATTTGACGTAAAATATATTCTTAAAGAAAATATAAATATGTATAAGATGCATGCGAATCAAAATATATATATATATATATATATAAATCTCCCAAAGATTATAAACCAAAAAAAATATGTATTCATGTACAAAATTAAAATTTATGAAAATCAAATAGGTATTTGTACCCTCAAACCTAATGCATGTTATTTATGTCATTATTCAAACAACAAAAATCGACAGTCTATATATACATATTTTGTGAAGTTCGCATATAATAATAATACACCCCGGTATATAAATACTTACTAATGTAGCCAATTGTATGGCGCATAACAAGCATTTGTGTATTTAGGTAATCTGTTGTAACGTGTGGGCTAAACATAACAGAAGTCAATGTAAACCACTATGGAAGGGGAAACATAACTAAACCTTTATGTGCATGCAATAAAAAAAAAATCAAAAATAAATTTCCTTGTCGTTATTATTGGGCCAACAGGGCAGAAAATAAAAATGGTTTATTCTTTGCATGTTGCTGTTTAGAATACAAGCAGTCTGCACACAGCAGTGACACAAACTAGGTTGCTGCCTTGGCTAACTGACCTCAAGCAAAAACATATTGCGGGCACAACTCAAACATATCTCTTCTGTTTCGTAAAGAATGTGGTGAGTTACAGTAAGAAGGACGAACTCTATCGAACTGCAACGATTATCAACGACTATGAGGTCTAACGAAACGTAATTTAATTGAAATCGGAAAATATTTATTTTCTGTGAAACTGCAAAGAATGCATTTGAATGTTCCTTTTCCAGTTAATTTTTTGACCCAAGATTCTACAGGAACTGGAATTAGTAGGCCCAGGAGTATCTGTGGTCCAAAGGATATCCGGATAGTCCTTGAAATGGATAATTTACAAAGTGCATTTTGGAAAATCGATCACTTTTTTTCTGAGAGCTAAAATGTGCCTGTTCAAGGTACTCAAATTGTAATAAATACATACACATTTACTACAACCGGAAACTTTATCTGTTGGAGTTACAGATTCCATAAATAAGAAGCAATTTTTACACTAGGAAGAGATTGTTAACTAATTCAAATATTCCACTTTAACAATTGATATTTTATTTGTTAATGGAGCTTATTTTAGTGTTGGCACGCTACCAACTTGATAATAAATCACAATTAATTCGATTGGTAACAGCCCAAAATTACGGCAAAGAGACCTGGCTGTGTGTAGATACAGATAATAAGCAGCAGTTCAATCCATGACAACTTCATTTACGGCTTGCGTGGCCACAGGCAGGCAGGATTTGAGCGTATGCTTTTTCAGCTGGCTCAAGCGACTAAATGTCTTCTGGCATAGATCGCAGCGATGTCGCCGCTCGCCCGAATGGATTCTCTCGTGTGAGCGTAGAACGCTTAGCTGGGCAAAGCTGCTGTCGCACCAAGAGCAGGCATACGGACGCTCGCCTGTGTGGGTGCGCTTGTGCAGCTCAAGCAAATAGACGCGGGCGAAGGAGTGCTGACAGATGGTGCACCTGTGCGGACGATCCGATGTGTGCAGCGAGGCAATGTGTCGCTTTAGATTGCTGGACTCCACGAAACCCTTGCCACAATACTCGCACTCGAACTCAATCAGTTTGAGGTGTCGCTTCTGATGGACGACAAGTCCGCCATTGGTTTTAAATGTCTTGGGGCAAACATCGCAGGCAAAGGGCCGCTCGCCGTTGTGCAGACGAAGATGCATCACCAAACTGGGCGCCGACTGCAGACACTTGCCGCAGTATACGCAGCGATGACGTGTACGCGCCATTCCTTCATTTCTCGACGGCGCACTCAAGCTAGCTGTGCAGCTGTGCCTCTGCAGATTTATGTGCTGGGTAAAGCAATAGCCACAGTGCATGCAATTGTAGATAACTGCATTGGGATGTGATTTAGCTATGTGCCGCTGCAACGTCACTGTCTGCTGAAAGACAGCGCCGCAATCATCACAGTTGTAGTTGGCATTTAACTGTATAGGATTAGATTCTTCTATCGACTCTTCTCTCACAGCTAACTCTGGTGCTTCTATAGTCTCTTTTATGGCCAGTTCTTCCGTTTCACATTCCTCGTATAGCTCAACATGCTCGCTTGGATCGAATTCTATAATATCATTTGCATCTATTGTGTTCTCCTCGTCATCCACCACCAGCTCGTCTTTAGCCAATTCGCCTATTGCCAACGATGCTGCTTCGTCATCTAAACGTTTCCGTTTTCTCTGCTTTATAGCTTGTTCCGTTGCCGCACATTTGTCGCGAAACTTGGCCGCGATTAGGAGCTCCTTGGTGCACTCTTGGCACAAATACTTTGGATAACTATCCAACTTTTCGACCTAAAATAAAAGCATTTACTTTATAAAATAAACGCGTCAAATAATTGGAGTACTCACTATGATATCGCCACAGCGTTCGAGTAGGGTGCATAGATCCGTTTGCTGCTCCTCCACATGCTCGTAAATGTCTACCAGGAGCTCGTCCTGCTTCAGACAGACGCGGCAAAGTAGTTCGCTCAAGCCTGAAGTCATTTATTTGCAATTGTTTACTAATTTTCAAAGTCCAAATCTACACATGCCTACTCAAATGCGTTAAGGCATATTTAGCCACATATCAGAAACAGCTGTTTGCACATTTGTTATCGATATTATTGCCGTCAATAACAATCGCCGCGCAAGTGAAAAGAGCTACATTTATTTAAATACAATTAAATCAATGTAAAATTTAAATTTAATTTGAAAACTGATGTTTTTATTTTTCAGCGTTAAAAAAAGACTAAACAATATTCTGCCCTTGGGTGGTGCAAAATCGCGCAAACAAGGCACTAAGCATATTTTATATAATAAAAAATACATTGAAACAGCTCATTAAACGAAAATTAATGTTTGTTAATAGCTTACAATGTCTTAAGTTGAAGGTTCTGGTTATTTGATGAAAATGACAAAAAAAATAGTAAATATAATTTATTTTGTAATGATGATTCAGCAAGAGATTATACGATGACAGTGCGAATGTACTATGTAGAACCTATTAAGCATTATCAACTGCGAAATTAAAACACGCATCACTATTATCTGAAAAGTAGTGATAAGAATCCTCAAGGTCTATGAGATTGCAATTAATTGCAGTCACTTATAACACTAAGTAGACAACACAACATTGTCTGTTTAATGTTTATTGAGTACGCCTTTGCAGGTAATATTTAATGAAATACTCATGGAAACTAATGAATGTAGAGATAACATGCATAACAATTGATAAGAAATTGTAATGAATAAGATAAGTGATATACCCTATAACCAAAAAATATATATAAAAGAATAGTTATATAAATCTGCGATAATTAAAAGAGTGATCATCTTGATCAATATAAACAGCTCATTCGATCAGATCATTTTATTAATTCGTTAATCTCACGAAATATTGGAAATTACTTATTAATCTCCAATATCAGCTTAGATATCTTAAAAAAAAAAATTAATTGGAGTATTGATTTTCTAATCACCTAGATAATCCCCTTTTAAATGCCAACAACAAAGAATCGTTCAAGTTTTGTACGATTGATATATTTACAATAGTTATTTTGTAGGTGCCTCGAAGTAACCCGAATGCAGCATTCGAGGCAACAGATACTCCAATTCATTTCGATAATCCTTGTTGGCAAATAATTCGGCACGACAACCTGCATTTTCCAAAACTGTACCAGGATCATGCCCCATACGCATGCTGTTAAAGATAGGCAAAAACGTGGTAAGCAGCATGAATTCTAAAAAAAGAAGATATATAAATATAATAGCATTTTAAAGGCATGGACGTTGAGCGAGGTTTAGACTAACCAGTATTTCTCCGATCAAACATTTGTCTGCGAAATTCCACCAAGCTATGCTTCTTCAATTCACATCCAATTTTCTTTAATGTCTTTGCAAATACATCAAAGTAGTGATAAATTAGTTCATCACATTTATCCTTGCGATCCTCGGCAGAAAAGAGCATATATTTGGCATATTGCACATCATTGGACATACAACCCACGTAGGACAATTGAAAATCCAGCAGCATGCAATCGTTACCCTTGAACATCATGTTCTTCATATGAAAGTCGCCGTGGCAGAGAACATAATAGGTATTCTCTTGCCGATTCTCACGATATTCATGGATTATATCGGCCCAGAGATTAAGTAACTTGTTCCGCATTGGCTCAAAGTATTTGCAGTAGTCTCTCAAGCTCTCGTTCTGGCCGAGCATGTCGATAAAGTTAGGTAGCCCACTGGTAAGGAAATCATCTTCCAAGAAGCCCGGCAATGTTGCTAGATCATATTTGAGTTTATCGAATAGTATCGGCTGCTCCTTCAACACTTTGTGGCTAACTGCATGCCATTTGGCCAGCTTTTCCATTGCGGCACGCAGCTCATCCATGGTCAAATCTCTATTGCGTATCACTTGATATCCTTGAGGCACGAGATCTTCAAAAATCATCACCTCTCGCGGCTCTAAGCTGTAATAGACGCAGGTCCCACAAAATTTGATCTCTTCACCCGCCTCGCGTAATATTGCCTCGAATTTGGGCAGCACTTGCGTGTACATGATAATCTCAGTCTCGAATATATGAGAATCAGCCAAAAAATCCTTTTTTTTACCCTGCACCTCGGGCATTGTCTTGATGATGAGGGACTTGGAGCATTTTCTCTTTTGTGTTGAGTACTCAACGATCGCTCGGAACATAACACTCGCATAGTGATCTCCTTTGGCACTGGCCGGGGACATCTTTGCCTCGGTTACTTTAAGGTTGGGTTCCTTCAAGTACTGTATTAGTGCATCTTGGAAGAATTGCTCGTTCAGCCAGGCAGGTGCTTCCAGCTCATCCGCGTTGTACATATCATTATTTGTGGTCATTTTACCTGGCGCTATCCGGGAGCGATGTGTTCTGTTCCGTGTTTATAACGTACTAAATGAAAAACTTTTTGTGTTCCATATTTATACCTGTTTGCTGCTATCATGATCTTTTAAAGCTTTCCAAACAAAATCAGAAGGTGGCGAAATTCTTCTTGAAAAATATCATTGTACATGTGGGCGAGCCATGATGTGACAATTTTTGAATACCGTCAGAAATGAATAGTTGGCCTTATCTTTAAATGTGTTTGCCTCAGATAGTGATTTTAATCTCGCAGAAAACAGATTATTAAAAAATTTGTCAAGTAGCGCTATTTTGAACATTTTTTGAGTGTACCGCTTTAAGGTTTTTTATTAATGAACAAATTAAGCACCAATCTTGCATCTTTGTATTATCATGGACTTTAAAATACCGTTCATTCTTAATTAAAAAATGTATGTATTTTTAAATTAATGCCAACACTCAACAAGCTGAAAGCTTTAGTTGATATTGCTCTTCAGAAAAGGTAAGCTTAAAGTTTTACACTATAAGTTGATTGTACACAATTTATGCCAATTTACATACATATATGTATATTAATATAAAGAGCTTTTTGGGAGCGACAGCAAAAGCGAGAAGAAAAACTTGAGGGAGAAGAAAAAACTCGAGGAATAAGAGAGAGCAATCGTTGCGCTATGTTTACAAATCAACTTGTGGCTGTGTTCGAAGAGATGAAACACCAAAAAGCTCTGATACTAGCATTTATCACAGTAGTTTAACTTTTGCTTTTAGATCATGAGCACAATATTTTAACGAGTTTTAACTTAATGAAAAGTACAAACTCGTTTGTTGTTTATGTCTGCTTTGTATAAAAACGAAAGCTATATTTATTTGAGATAATTAAGCAAGCTCTAAAAAATTTGATTAATATCTAAGAAGTGTTAAGTATTAATTATCTGTGAGCAAGTTAGCTTATCGCAGGTATCTAGTAGATGTGCCCTTTTAGCCAGTATTATAGGTTGAACAATTTAAATACATGGTAAAATAGTCTCAACGAATCCTTAAAGATCAAAATTGCCTACTTAATCTAACAGTAAATGTATAATCAAATTATACACTATTAAAGCTAGCACTATTATTTCAAAACATGTTTAAGGAATTTGCTTTCTTGTTATGAAGTTATTTTATTAATAATATGAAATGGTATAATTGGGGTATATATGATGAAGATTAAATCATTATTATGAAGTTACCCTACAGAATTAAGTAATAAGAAGTATATTTCCAAAAAGTATATGCATGGTAGAATTGATAAAAAGCGTATTAAATGGATTTACTTAAGCGCAATTACTGATCTGCATCCAGCAAACCTTCAGAATCAAATACAGGTAATAGTTCACGTAACACCCTCTGTGCTGCTGGATTCCGATAACACCCATTCTTAAAGTTAAGTGCTCGCTGATTTGTCTCCATCAAAGCGTTAAAATCCGCATCCTCATTTTCCACATTTCGCTGAATGGGAAAGATACAAAAACTTGTGTGCATAGCTGATAAAGAGAGAGAGATTGAGAGGAAGTTTTATAAATGCAAATTTGAAATATTTTTGAATTTCTTTTACCATAGAATGACTTCTTCTTCAGCTCCAAATGAAAACTGTGCAAACTGGGAATGTGCGCCTTAAAGCGCAATTTCCTCAGCGTATCTGAGAAGATGTCAAAATAATGCTTAATTAGCTGCTCCTGATGATGTAAATGGAAATCCAACTGCAACGACGAATTCAAAAAGTACAACAAATCAATTGCCGGCGAGCCCCAGGCAGCATATTGGAAATCAATGATGATGACATCTTCGGGCTGACCAGTTTCTTTGCTGTACTTGACAAGAATATTATTTGTCCAGAGATCACCATGAGCCAAGACATTAACACACGGACTGATATCAAACACACGTTTGCCCAGCTCCATGTAGGCAGGGAGCAGTGCCTCCAATTTCTCTGCATATTCCTCATAGCCAGCCAATTGAGACACACATCTGCTGGTCGCTTGGAACATGCCCAGATAAAGAGGTGCATAATTATCCGTATGACGATTGAACAAGCCACGATCATAGCCCTCGAGGGCGCCACACTCTCGCTCATTGAGAACCGCCGAGGTGGCATGCATCTTGGCCAACTTGCGCAGCACCATTCGCGCCAATGGCAGATCCAGGCCCACCAAACGATCCGGCATCACAAAACCACGCGCACTGAGATCCTCAAAGATCAACGCAGACCGATCATAATCAACAGCCATTGTTTCTGCAAATATTTTTTCCTCATCCTCAATTTCCAGCAGCATCGCATTAAGCTTGGGCAGTATCTGTTCATAGATGGACATTTCACGATTGAATATATCATAGGGTTCCATCGTTTTGCGTGCGAATTCATCGCCTTCGAATGAGGTCTTGATTATATAATGACCAATCTTTGAGCTGCCATCGCGCATCGTAAATTCCGCCTTAATGCGAGTCAGAACTCCGCCGTAGTTTTCGCCACGTCCCAGCGCAGGACGACCATCCACGGCGGTAATCCTTAGCTTCGGATCGTTATAGAATTTACGCAATGCATCCTGTAGATAGTTTTCTGTTAGCCAGACAGGCGCATCCAGAAAACTGGTATTTGTATCTGGAGTCACTGTCTTTAACTTTGGACTGACATTGAAATCACATATAAGATCTTCAGCTATCATTCTGTGTATTTATAAACTGACTAAACGCCTAGCAGCAATAAGATTTTCCTTGGTCCAACTGATATATCACAATAAATTTTTTCTCGGCTCGTCGCTGAAGGTCTGTGTGAAATTTTCCAAAAACACTCGTCTTTTTATACGACTTGTTCCGTGGCAGGTGTCAGCGATGAGTTGATATCGCAATTGTGATTTATCTGTCTAAGATAGACAAATTCAGATTAAATATTTGCACATTTATAAATATAGGCGAAAGCGTCTTGAGATTATTTCTTTATTAGTTGTGCCACCTCAACTTAGTCAAGCTCTCACATCGCGCGCTGTTGCCACTTGAGACTACTGCGTTACTACTTACTGCCTAATTGTGGGCTGTTTCTGTACAAATATGTATATGTCGTCTTTATGATAATCAGTGTGGGTCATTCAACTAATTTAGCAATGGTAAGCTAGATATTATTTATATAGGGCTATAGAATATGAGACAACATCAACTACTATGTCTCACTCTGAAATTATTAGAAATGTGGAGTCGAATGCCTAGTTTAGTTCTTGTATGCCTTATTAATGAAACATATGAATTTAATACATTCGATATGATTGCGCTAAATATTAAAAATTGTATCTATTTATTTACCGGTCTTTATTTGTACAGCAGCTTACAGCGTCTGGGCAAACAATCATAGTGCTTTAATCTAAGGCTTTCTTTATATTGCGTGTAACGTTAGATATTTAACTTGCAAAATCGCCTGAGAACTATTGTTAAATTGGGGGTAATTTAATATTATTAAAAACGAAAAGTGTTTTAAAAATTAATTTTTCTAGAAAAAAAAATGCACTCAAACACTTTATAGCTATATCGCTGAAGGCTTCTGAGTCCTTGAAAATCGATTATACTGAAAAGATATATAAATAAATAAATGAATAATAAATTGTTGTTTAGTTTGAATTTCTTGTGATGCTCCCACTAGTTAAAAATAAATGAATTGAAAAGTTATAAATGAGTTTCTAGTATGGTAAGACTTAAAAACATTTTGATGTGTACTCAATTTCAGTGAAATCTGCTTCAGATAGCAGCAATTCGTCTGGCACACGTCACACGTCGCAACGAGTGCCTTTAGCACAATGTTGCCCCATGTAAATATCATAGATATAGCAATATATTAATGTCGTCAGAGCAAACATTTGCTCTGATATAAAAATGTGTCGTGCGCTGGACGAGTGGACTACACAAATCGACGATATAAAAATGTACTGTATGAATTTCACCTTCATCAAAGGCAGTTACTACAAATTTGCAGTTATCCACCTATATAAGAGATTCGGCACAAGAGTCGCGAGCTCAGTTAAAGCAAGACATAATGGCAGCGGCACCTGAGTGGCTAACACACGATTATATTGAGAACGCTCTGCGAACTCATCACAAAGATGCTCAATTGCAGATTGTGCAACTGGATGTGAATCCGGCTCTGGGTCCTGGTGAGAACTACGGCGGCGTCTTGACCCGAGCTCGAGTTAGTTTTATTCTCTCGCAGCAGCCACAAGAAGAACGTGTTCAGAACTTGATCATAAAGACCTCCATCGATGACGATGAGTTGACCAAGGAGCTAATGGCGCCCTATGACATCTTCAATCGTGAAATTAACATTTATGAGGAGGTGTTGCCAAAACTGAATGAACTTTTGAAGGAAATTGATGAGTTTGAGCCAATTTTCCCCACCGCCGTTTTTGTGGATCGCGAACGCATTGCCATCATTTTTGAGGATTTGACAGTGGAGAACTATGTGATGGCCGATCGTGTGAAACGGTTAGATCAGGAGCATGCTCATCTCATCCTCCGTAAACTGGCCAAGATGCATGCCACCTCGGCGGTGCTGAATGAACGCACTGCAGGTTGCCTGGAGAAATACGATCGTGGTTTCTTTAATCGCTATACAAACGCGTACAGCGGATACTTTGTGGGGGGACTGCTGGCTGCCGCACGCTGGATGAGCCAGGAACCCGAATGTGCTCATTATGGTAAAAAACTGTTCGAATTGGCTCCTCACTACATGGACATTGGCAGGGAGTGTTTTGCTCCGCTGCGTGATTCGGTGAATGTTTTGGCACATGGTGATGTGTGGACCAATAATGTGATGGTCAAATATGATGCAGTTACCGGTCGTCCGGTGGATGTATTGCTGATTGACTTTCAGTACTCGTTCTGGGGTTCGCCCACCATTGATTTGCATCACTTCTTTAACACATCGCTACTGGAACCGCTGCGGCGGCAGGAGCAGAGCGCCCTATTCGAATTCTACCATCGCATATTCAGAGACATCTTATCGAAACTAAAGTACAAACAGCAGCCCATTCCCAGCTTACTTCAGTTTCAGCTGCAAGTCGAGCAGAAACGTTTCTTTGGTAAGTCAATCAATCATATTCAAACTTTGGGTTGCCTTTAAATTAAGTTTATTTCCCTTACAGCTATGCACTCGGCGGTTGTGGTGCAACCTGTTATGATCAATGAGGACTCCACAGATGCTTGTTTCAATGCCCTTATGAACGATGATGAACGTGGCACTCGCTTCAAGAATCGTCTTTATAACAACCCCATTGTTCAGCAGAATCTCAAAGCGCTGATGCCAATTTTCGACAGAAAAGGACTACTCGAGGTCAATCAATGCTGTTGACTTGTGTGATTAACTTTTTGTACTGTTATTAGATATAAATTCATAGTTAACAAAAAAAATCAAGTAACTAATAAAGCTTTAAATGGCAAATAACAACAAATACTAAATACTCATTATAAGAGTATTGGCTGCAGAAGCTAGCTGCACTCCAATTTATAATTAAGTGTATATTATTTGATAATGAGGAGAGGCAGAGGCGACAACAGTGCTGGTCAGAGGCATCAGGACTTGGACAAATCAGGTAGTTATAATCTTGGACGATTTAAGCAAGTTATAACCATGGGAAAGAACAGCCTCAGGATAATTGCTGGTCTATTGGCAGGACACTGTAGACTAAGAAGTCAGCTATTCTTTATTATATTAATCAAATTAAACAATCATATTGAGTGCTTAAAGCATTTGTTCATTGACATTAGCGAACAAATTTATTTATTAGTTTAAAATTATCTATTCAGAATAGCTTTATTTCGAGATTTATTAAAAGAAGGGAATTTAAAGTGCGTGTTAGTCCAAAAGGAAAGCAGCAATATCATTGGCAAACAAGATGATAGCTTGTTTGAAAAATATTAAATGCATTTAGCTAAAGATATGCCTACTATTAACAACACCTGACAGCAGCTCAGTCTTTTTAATTGAGGCACGACGTTTACAAGCTCTTAAGGCAAGAATAGAGCTGATTGTCTTAAGTGTTCTTCAAGCTGTTTTCTTATCGCAGCCACCAGTCGTATAAAAGCGGAACGATTCTACAGATTTACCTCAGAGCTGTATGAACTCACAACTGTAGACACAAACTAGTAATCATGCCAGAGAAAACTGTTCAAGAATTTATTGCCGCGCCCTCTTGGCTGACACGCGAATACGTTCAGCAGAAACTTCGAGCGTATCTGAAAGATGCAAAACTGGAGCTAAAAAAACTTCAGATCAAACCCGCCACTGCCGGTGGTGAGAATTACGCAAGTGTGATGACACGCATAACTGTGGAGTACATCGACAAGAACCTGTGCCAAGAAACAACCACCTTTATCGTAAAGACCACATTCGCTGACAAGGACCCAGCAGCTGAATTCTTGGAGCAATATGGCATCTATACCCGTGAAATGGATATGTACGAAGAGGTGTTGCCAAAACTGGCAATTATTCTACAACAGGATCTGGACGATCACAGAAAGATGTTTGCCGGCACTGTGTGTGTGGATCGGGAACGCGACTCCATTATGTTCGAGGACATGTCCTTGGAGAGCTACACTACGGCGGATCGCATAAAACAATTGGACTTGCAACACACACAACTAGTGCTGGAGAAGCTAGCCAAATTCCATGCTGCTGGAGCCTTACTCAATGAGAAAAACCCTGGGATATTCGACAAGAAATATGATCGTTGTTTCTTCAATTCACACACTAGAGCCTACGAGCCCCTAATGAAAAATATGTTAAGGTCACTGATAGCATCCATCGAAGACGATAAGTTACTCCATCAACGCTACGCATCTAAGTTAAACGGACTAATTGAACATATTATGGAATATAGTGAAAGAGCAATGGAAGTGAATAAAGAAGACTTTGTCACTCTATGTCACGGGGATCTGTGGACTACGAACACAATGTTCAATTACGATGAACAGGGCAAACCCAACAATGTCATCTTGATTGATTTCCAATTCAGTGTATATAGCTCACCGGCCATCGATCTGCACTACTTCTTCAGCACCTCATTGCAAGACGATCTATACCAGTATCACCAAATGGAACTTATCCAGTTCTATTATCAGAAGCTTGTGGAGTCCCTAACTAAACTAGGATTTAGTGGTCATGTACCTAGTTTATTCCAGTTCCAACAACAGTTTCAAGCGCGTGCTTTCTATGGTGAGTAACTAATCTTTATGAAACTAATTTGAATTAAATTTAACTTCATTTATTTTTATTTTATAGAAATCTTTTCTTCATTCATTTTTTTGCCCGCCATGATTTGCACTGGCTCGGAGGGGTTCAACATTGAAAAAGGTATTTCTCAATCTGATAACGATATAGCCGTGAGATCAAAAATCTATAAAAATCCTATGGTACAAAAGAAACTGCGACGCTTTTTGCCCTTTTTTGATCAGAGAGGACTGCTGGATGAGTTGTAAATTTAATGTGCATGATTGTATAATTTTATTATTACTTAAAGTTTGGTTTAGATATATAATAAAATTGATGAAATATATAATAAAAGATGAAAATATGGTTCATGTATAAGTCGTGTAGAGATCACATGCCATTAAAATGATATGCATGTTTCAATTGAATCGAAAGATTAAAGTCCCAGGTTTTAATGTCCGGCATATGGCTGTTTTACTGCTCAGAATACTCAGATAAATAAGAAATGTAAATAGTAGTATAATAAACAACATTTAGCACAACATGGACATGCGTCTCGTATTATAGTTTTTAAAGCAAAGACCTCATACAATTCTGAAACTAGTTTAAGCTGCATGACAAGTCATATAAATTTAGAAAAGCGTGCAAAAATCTCAGCAAACTAACTCAATGATAAGGTGGAAACTAAGGCAAGCAAGTGATACACAGAAGGGGTATACAACTATATTTAAACAATTTTATTATTATATGATCTGTCAAGCAGACGACACTGACGCTCACTTAAGTAATTTACAGAGCCTAGACTTTCATATATATACTTACTACACATATGCAGTTATAATTGTATTTAAGTCGTAACTATAATATATTGTACTAGGTTGTGTTCTATTTATTCAGATGACTGTGCAGCATTTTTAAATTGCACAGTGCTTCCAGCAAGTTGAAGCGGTTTTCTAAAAATACAATCAATTAAAAATAATGTTTTTAATTTAATCAATTTTAAAGAAGAATCATAAGAGGTTTTCGGAAACTCGGTATTGGAATTCTTTACAAGCCAGAAAATATGAAGAATATAAGATATAAATTGTTTCTATAAAATATTACAAGAACATTTTTTATGTTTTTTTAAAATAAGAACATCATGTTCTTTAAATCAGTAATATGAAATTAAAGATAAAAAACGTAAATAATAATTTCTAAAAAGCAATTAGAAAGATATTTCTAAATAAATTCTAAAAGATTCCCATTTCTGAACAGTAATAATTTCTGGAAAGTTTCCATTTGGATAGGACCACTGTAAATAATATATATTTGTATATATTTTTATGTAAGCAGTATATAAATAGTTGAAGATTGTTAGATAGGGCAAACGTTTGTCTAGATGTGTTATGGCTATTATCTACTCTAGCGCGAGGCCCGCTAGACTATAAATTGCGACTACCTCGCGAAGCGTTGAGTGAGAACCAAGCAACCATGGTAGAAACTAAGAGCAACGGGAACGGTGAATCAATGGTGCATCCTGCCCCATCCTGGCTAACTGAGTCCTACGTGGAATCCATACTGCGTCGCTACAAACAGGATGTGACTCTTGCCGTGAGGGATTTAGATATCACACCAGCGACAAGCAAGGGCGAAAATTATGCCAGTGTTATGACCAGGATCAAAGTGGAATATGTCTGCGGTGGCGCCAAGCAGCCCCAAACCGAATTCTTTATAGTGAAGACAACATATGAGAATGATCCTTTCATATCCAACGTCTTGGCAACATATAATACGAGCATAACGGAAATGATTATGTACGACAAGATTCTGCCGGAATTAAGCCGAATGCTGGAGGATACGGATCAATCGGAGAAACTATTCGCCAAGACACTCCATGTTGACGATGAGCACTCGGCGATTATCTTTGAGGATCTCTCCGTATCGAACTATGTGCTGGGTGATCGCTTGACTGGCTTCGACTTGGAGCTCACCAAGTTAGTCCTACGAAAGCTGGCCAAGATGCATGCCACCGCTGCGGTTTACAATGAGCTACAACCGGGATTCCTGACCAAACTACAACATGGCATATTTAATCGCCATTCACGCGCCTTTGCTCCCATGTTTGAGAATCTAATAGGCGTGGCAGCACAGTTTGCGGGCCAGTGTCCCGAACTTGGCAGCGTCTACGAGAAGAAGCTAAAACGTCTGCAGAAACATGTTATGGAATACACGGAAATGGTTTATGATCCGAAACCGGATGAGTTCAATACTTTGACCCATGGCGATCTGTGGACCAACAACATAATGCTGAGGCCTAAGACCGACCAGAATGAAGTGGATTTGCTGCTGATTGATTTTCAGTTCTCTGCCTGGGCCTCTCCTGCCGTTGATTTCTATTACTTCTTTAGCACCTCGCTGCAATCCCAGGTGCGCATCGATCACCATGATGCCTTGATTCAGTTCTATCATCGTGTGCTGGTGGATACCCTGCATATATTAAACTTTAAGGGTTATATACCCACGCTCAGGCAGTTGGTACTACAGCTGGAGAGGGGGAAATTTATGGGTAAGTGTTTGATGAAGGCTTAAATGAAAATATATGTTTATTATTAACATTTTCCTGTAGCTGTGACTGCTTTGCTGACTTGTCAGGCAATAATGGTTAACGATAATACTGATGATGCGGACTTCAATGCCCTAATGGTGGACAATGAGCGAGGTCGCAACTTTAGAAGGCGCATGTACAACAACAAGAGGATTCAGGAGCATGTCAAGCATTGGCTGCCCGTCTTTGATCGCTGCGGTCTCCTTGATGTACTGAATTGATGTTAGTACATTATTAACAATATTATTTAAATATATATTATAATATTGTACTTAATATTTAGCACAAAAAATAAAATATAAACACACATATCTATGATCCTTCACAAAACAGATAATGTTAACCTTTTATTTCTACCTAGAAACAAGCCTAAGCAATCAAATACAATGTAAATTTCTTATTAACAAATAAACAAGCTTTTACTAGCAGTCTAAAAAAAATATGTATTATCTTATGAAGACAGTTAGTCAATTTCATTACAGCCAATTTCATCACATACTGAAAGATAACTAAAACATAAGCAAATTCATTTACAAGTATAGGAAGTGCTTTATCACGGTTACTCAGCTATTTATTTGTGTACATCAAATGTTTATAAATTGTTCATGTTACACCAATCATTGTTCCAAGCACGATAGCTGTGTTTTCATATATTCAATACACATGGCTGCAAATGCTACTCTTGAAATTAATAATAACGCAAATAATAATAATCTTATATACTTACAAATCTTTCAATATCCTCAAATATTTTCCACGTTCCACTAGTTTGCAAACATGATTTTAACGAAATTTTGATTTTAGATGCTAAAATATATTTAGATTTACATATATGTTTTGTTTCTATACACTGGTCTTAAATGTTTTAGAAATCCCAGCCGGCGTATTCTTTGACTACATCCTTGTTTTCCTTACGATGACGATGCACTGCACTCGCTTCTCCCTTGGCCACACAACGCTTCCGTTGCTCCCGCTTTTCTTTCACATCCATGTTGCGGCGAATGCGATCTGTGATCACCGAGGGTGCTATCGTGCTGGCTGTGGTGGAATAAGATCGCTGGCTGCGTGCATCATTTAGCAGCTGTTCAACCATCTTCAGACGATACATGCGCGAATTGGGATCTATGCCAGCCAACTCGGGCATATCATCCTTTTCCAAGTCGTTGGAGCTGATGGAACGGGCATCTTCTGTAGCCTGAGTTGCTGATATTACCGAGGGAACAGATTCTGCTGATTTATGTGCTACAACTTCGCTGGCATTCTTGTTGGGAACAGACTTGATTGGCTCGTCATCTAAGATTTCTGGTACTGCCACCGCCAATGCTTGATCGGTGACTTCGGGCCCAACGTGCAGATTGCCCAAGTATTGCGTACAGGATTCAATGTAACGACGGATGGCATCATCTGATTTCTGTGCGGGCTTCGTTTCACTGTAGGAAACCTCAGTCTCCAATTGCCTACGGCACTCATCAATCTCGGCAGCAGCAGCCGGCACCAAAGCTGGCGGCTCATCATCACCTAGCTGATTATCCTCATGCTGCTCGCCATCCTCATTCTCATCCTGTTCAATCATGCCATACTCCTGCAGCAGATCCATTTCCATTTCCTTGGTAAATCCATAGCCGGTGCAGTGCACCTCAGCGTCCAAATCATCTTCGCGCACCAAGTCACTGAACTTGGGATAATCCTCGCTTTCATAGCCAAATTTACGACGGAACATTTCACGCACACAGTTTACGTCGCGATCAAAGAAGCTGTCAACGATTTTAGGTTTAACATATATGTAATTAATTTTATAAACAAAATAAATAAATCCAACCACTTACAATTCGGCATTCTCGTGTGAGGTGGACATCATTTGAGGGAAATCAATCAATATGGGCTTGCCGGCATCGGTGACCATCAAATTGAACTCATTGAAATCTCCGTGAATAACGCCGGAATTGCCCAGGCGGACGATCAGATTCATGAGGTCATCGTAGACCTGCGGTGCATCAAGAAGCTCGTGCACCTGTGTCCTGTAGGAGAATTGAGTTACTCAAAAGTCAAGCAAATCTAACAAAAGTAATCCATCTAGACCACTCACATGGGCCATCCATTGACCAGATCCATGAGCACACAGTGCCGATTGAAATCGATGGGCTTGGGCACGGGAAAGCCCCGATCATACAGTGCTGACATGTAGGCAAATTCTCTCGTTGCTGAAATCCTCGAGAGATACAGCCAGGAAGCCTTGTGGCGACGACCGTGATAGTCACGCTTCGATTTAATGTTGCGGAAACAGGTGCGTCCCAGACGATGCAGCTTGAGACAAATGGGCGTCCCATCCTCGTCTGCAACCACATAGATGTTGGACTCCTTGCCAACGCCAATCTGATTGCCAAAGGAGCTAACCGATCCTCGCAGTGTCAACGATTTCAATGCGAGGTAATCGTAACCAGTGTTGGTCAGCCGATAGCCATCATCTACAAATGGGAGAGTCGGCTGTTAATAATAATTGTAATAATAGTAATTAGTGAGTGGGGCTCACTTACACTTCTTGCCACGCTCGTAGGCAATCAACTTGTGCTTGCAGAGCTCTTTGAGCAGCTTGTGGACACCGCCTGTTTTCAGATTAGCAATTGCAGCGGCCAGCGGTCCGGGCACCAGCTCGTGATTCTTCATCCCCATCTCGATGGCAGTGAGGACGCGAAAGTCCTCTCTGGTGAGGTAGCGCAACACCGTCACATTTAATTTGCCCATTTTATTGTGCGTTTACAGCAACTTAGGTTCAACTTATTTTGTTTTGCGTTTTACACGTGCAGGCGGACCGATTACGAAGAACGAACGATGTATCGATATGCGCTAAGCATCGATAAATACTCACAGCTGGTCGAAGTATCGTAGTGCAGTATTTTGCAGCTCGCAAAATTCGGTCACACTACGTTTGGTCGTCGTGTACAAAAATCAATTACTATTACTGCTGAAACTGAGTACGAAAAGCGTTTCCGCTTGTAAACAAAACGGCAGTTAACCACAATTAGCAATAGTGTTTGTACGTGTTTTAATTATAAAGCAGCTTCGCCACGCTTTGTGTGTGTGTGTGTGTGCGTTTGTGTATGTGAGAGCGGGTGCCTGAAAACATGTGGGTGTGTGTGTGCGTGTCTACGTATGACTCGTGCTTTTTGCCGACATGCAACTAAAAAAGAAAACCACACAAAAAATGTGAAGTCAAAGGCCGCCTTTGAAATTTCATGCATAATCATTAACTAACGGAAAAGTGTGTGAAAGTGAATGCAAAGCAACATTTTATGTCATTGTCATTGAAAGCATACGCATTAAACTGCATCCTCCCCCGTGATCGCGCGTGTGTGTGTGTGACTTGTGTGTGTGAAGGTTGCATTCTCAAGTGCAACCAACACATTCAATTTCTATGAAATCTAAATCAAAATTTCCACCCCTTTCTCTCTCTATTTCTCTTCATTTTTGGACTCTCGCATTCGTCGCGCTGCGTGTGCAGTAAATCAACGGAGCAATAACATTTGGAAAAAATGCAGATCAAAGAATTGTAAGTAAAAATATAATTAATATATTTATGCTCAATTTGTTGCTAAGAACTAACGTGCGAGATTGCTGAATGTGATAAATCGATTTTATGCTCATTTGTTCTCAGCTGTGACGCACTCGCGCTGCTCTCGCTCATTTGCTCTCTCCCTCTCTTGCTATCTCTCTCGCTCGTTACTTGAGAGTCGCGTTGCCAACTGCTCGACAATTACTTCAATTTTATAAGTTTTAACGTTTACTTGTGTTTTTCGTTTCGTTTCGTTTCCTTTTGATTTTTGTTTGTTTGCTTTTTTGATGCTGCTCCGTTTGTTGTTGTTTATATTACTTCGTTGATGACGTAATAACTTTAACTATTGAGCTGAGATACGCAATACTTAATTTAGATACGCTTTATTCATTTATGCAAAATAAAACATCTTTGCATGTGCTGCCGCAAAAAAATAAATACCTGAAATAATCGTCTTTGCCACGTTTCCAATTGAACTTCTTTCCTGTTGTTGTCGTTGTTGTTTTTATTGATGACTGGGCGAGCGTGAAGTTTACAATGCTTCTCTGCCGTGACTCATTTGACTTGACAACTCTCTCTCTCTAATTGTCTTTCTTTCTCTCTTTGTCTCTTGTAATGTTCGGCTTGGCTTTTAGTGCAACTTTTCGCGCCGGTTTTTCAGCTGCGACGTTATCAGCAGCAGCAGCAGCGTTTTAATCAAACAAGTTGGCAATATTGATAACGTCGTCGCTTGGCTGTTCTTATTCAGCCATTTGCTATCTCTCTTGCACACTGGCTGTCTGCGCCAATTTTTGCCCAAAGGCGTTAAGGCGTTACTCACACACATTTACAATTAAAATGTGCAATTAGTTTGTTGTTTTCTTATCGATTAGCAACTTAAATGATAAATATATAGGCATATGCATGTAAATAAATACTGAGGAACGTAATCTGCGTCTGTCCCATTTAATTGCTGCATACTTCAAAATATTTGATACAATAATTTCATATATTTAAAGCTTCATAAAATACAAATAAATTGTATTTTTGGGGATATTTGAATTTCTGCACATTTGTTTTTCATTTTCTGTAAACTCTCATTTCCGACAGTCCTATTAATCTTTTTGGAATTCCAATTTAAATCATTCCACTGTGTCAAATGTATCTCGCCGAGCTGAAGCATCCATCAAACAGTCGTGAGCTCATTTTGTCATTTGCAGGTTGTTCACGTTCTCTCCTGTCCCCGTCTGTCCATCTCACGCGTCCATCACCTCTTTTATTAATGAGCGGAAATTGCCAAAAAGTAAAACTGTTCAATTATTAATTGATTTGACATTCGTGCGACAATTGAAGGGTAAATAATATTTACAGTAGTAGTACATTAACTAACATATAGTTAAGGGCAATATATATATAGGCTTAAGTATTTGTATAAATATAAGTATAATTTAATATATATAGATGTGTACATAACAAAAGGATGTAAATTGAAGTATTTGTAATTGTATAGTTAAAAACTGTATCCTCTAAATTGACCTCACGCATTCTAAATTGACATTTTAATATGTTTTAATGAAAATTAATTTCTCTTAATGAATATTTAGACATGGTCTACTTTTATTCGTAAACAGTGCGAATTATTTGTTTGATTATTGCTCTTTCATTTAATTCTCACTGTTACGTGATAAAAGTTATCGATATCAGTGTGTTTTCTCGAAAATCCCATAAAACGATAAAACGTAATCAAAACAAATAAAAGTAACGCCAGATGGTCACACACTGACTGAGCTATGAAAATGAGTACTTGCAAAATAAAATATATATATATATAGATATATATGAATGCAAGTCTGTGAATATGTGTGAATCCTGTTTATTTTTGCGCTACCTTGCATTTGTTGTTTACTTTCGGTTGGTTTCCAAAATAAAAATTTCAACGCTCTGGTTAAATGAAGCACAAAGTGCGTCCACCGAGTGGGCAATAACACATAAATATTTCAATGCCGTTGGCAACAAAATATATCCAAATATCAATACAAACAAAAGCAACAATTGTTATTGTTTAATTTAAGCGGCAGGTCCACAGTCTGGCCGCTAGCCAGCACTACGAGTAATTAATTACTGAAGTGCGCTTAAAAAATTGTTTACTTCAACTTTATTGCTTTTAAATGCTGTTGGCAGTTTTTCATTCACATGGTGATAGCAAACATAAAAAAAATAAAATACATTATAGGCAAAATTATAATATCGCTTACTCGACAAACAGTCTCATTTCTGCGTCCATTAACACACACCCACTTCCCGCCCCACTCTCTGCCTCACGGCGCTGTAACCACAGAATTTAATTTCAGGCCCTTTTTTGCTTAACTCAAAAGTTTCATAAAATTAATTAGGTTTCTGCATTTTACATGCAATTATTATTTTGATTGATAAATATTTTATTAATTATGCCCACATATTTCGTGGGCACTTAATTTGCTAAAAGAAGGTTATCAGTTCTGAAAATGTTTTAAATTAAAATCGCACTTAAAATTTATTAAGTTATAATTCCGCTTTTTTTTGTCTCATTGCTGATTCTGTTTTGCATAAGTACTAAAAACTAAATGTATAAAACTTGTTATCTTTTTATAATACTTTGAACCTCTGTCAACCAATTAGCTTTAAGCTGATATTGGACTAATGTATGTTTACACAACTCTCGCTATCTTTTTATTTTATTTTTTACGCAAAATTGCCATTTAAAGCGTTGCTAATATTGCATTGTATTTATAAATCGCGTGACTTTAATAACTGTATCGTTTTGTCGCAGCTCATATCTTCCATCTCTCTCTCTCTCTCTCTCAGTCTATCTCTGTCTTGCCCCCATTTTCACTTTGAGGTCACTTTGCAAACAGCACACGCGCTCATTTAGCCACAATTTGTATTGTGCCATTTTAGTTGGGCTATTTCGTTGTTTTATTTGTAATTGTATTTCTGTGCCGGGTTCCACATTAGATTAGATAACATGTCGGCCAGTTTAAAGTGTCCCCCATTACAAATTACGCTTTGCAAACATTAGACCAAATGTTATATTTTTATAGCTCGTTATTTTGTTTTGTTTCGTTTTTTTATGTGTAATGGCGTGTGGAGCACAGATCAAATATACACGAGTTTTTGCATTTTAATTGTAATGGAAGCATTTAAGTTGGCAATCACTTTTAATTATTTAGCTAACCTTAACCTTAAACCATAAATATATTGTGACTCAATGTGCGATTCGTAAAAATAGGAAAGAGTAAATAAAATACTAGAAACTATCTATCTTTATCATTTTATGACTATTATAAAGCCCTTTATATTGTTTAATAAAGTTTAATTTATATGTATTAATTTAAGTCTATGCCGAAAGATTAAACTTAAAGAGACTCAAGTGGATATTTATGAATTATGACATACTGCCAATGTGTAAAGCCCAATCAAGTGGAAGCCAGATCCACAAGCAAACCGCACAAACAACATAGCCTTGACCAATTATTTCTCAACTGGCCAACAGACCCACACACACACACACACACACTCATAAACACACACTCGCTGACAGTATGGCATATACTTTCCATTTTCAATTATGCCAACAAAGGCAAAACAATGCCCCTTGTGTGTGTTTCAGTTCTCGTCTCAATGGGGTTTTCCCCCGCCTCCGCATCCATTCTACCAACCAACTAACTATATGCGAAATTGTCTATGAACTCTTGGTCCGGTCCAGTCTCATTAAGGGTTCTTCAATATTTTTGTGGGGTTTTTGTTTTTCGTGACTCTCTTGACTTTTATTGCCCCATTGTAGCCCATTCAGCTATCCAACACACACAGTGCCTCCCACATGTGTGCGTACGTCTTTCAGTCTTGTTCAACACCCAACTTTCATCTTTCTAGTTTCACATTTTGCTGTTGCATAATTTTTTTTCTTTTATAGCTTTCCTTACTATTATGTTGCTTATTTTTCTGTTTTTTTTTTTTTTTTCTTTCTTTTCGTTGTCGTTTCGCCCTGCTAAACAATTTTCGTACATATTTCGTTTGATCTCTCAACATTTGATTTTCGACCCAGTTAGTTTTGAGCCCTCCTCCGCAAAAACTTATTTACTTATCTTATTGGCAGCAAATTTGCTGCAGTAATTTTTCTGTTGTTATTTGTATTGATATCGTTTGTGACTATGAAGCAGGCTCCCTTTGTGTGGAAAAACTTTGAGCAAAAGGGACGGACGACATTCTTTATGAGCAATTTACTTTATCAGAAACTTTTGCAATTTGAATTGATTTAACGCCAACTGATTAAACTGACAAACGAAACGGAAAATGTTCAATTTACTTCAAATTTAATAAAAGACGTGAAAGTTTTCAAGTTTATTTCTGGGTAAAACACAACTGAGTTGGGTAGGGGTATTTTATTTGTATTTATTTATATATATATTCGTATGAAATATGTCATTTTAATTACATTTGCCTTGTCTATAAAACAGACAAAGAGTTGAGAAGTGTAAATTGTATTATGCTATTCAAGGCAGTAAAACTTCACTAATTAAGTTCTGCTCATGTAATATGCATTAAAGCCTCATTAAAAATATCAATAAAAATTAACTATATTGAGATTATCTAAAATTTCTCTAATACCTCAATAATATTTATTTGTATATGAAAGAAAGGATTTTTATTAAAATCTATCAAACAGACGAAGCTTTTAGAAGTTAAAATCTTTTTTTTTTTGTATAAAATGCATTGAAAAACAATATTAAATCGAAACGAGCTTTACTTGAGCGGAATTTGCAGAATTAAAAGTCAGTCAAAACAAATGGGTAAATTACACTATCTTTATTTGAAAGCCCAATTTTAAATGGATAAACAAATAACACAGTTAATTCCTTTGATAAGACTGCTGTGTGCTGAGTGACCTTTAATCTACTAATCTAATCTGCTTCACAAGGCTTGGCTAAGGGTTAAGCGTTCTGCACACCAAATTAAGTGTAAATAAGTCAATTTGCAAGGCACACGGCTTGTGAATAAATTGCCCAAAATACGCCCACCACTCACTCAACTGAAGGGGCAACTGCCTAAGAGGCACCTTTAGTTGTCAAGTTGAGTGAACTTTAACCTTTATTAAGTTGCAGGCGAGAGACAGCGTTCAACCTAAACTCAGCACTCGACCAAGTTTAGGTGAATGACTAGCAAGAGTCCCATTGGGACAATGGGAAAGCACAGGCGGATGTGGCCCAGTTAGGCTAGCAATTAGCCACACATCATTACGCATGTCAACAATGGCAAAAGGTTAATTGCTACTGGAAGTCGCCTTTAAGCCACGGCATCCTCAGCCTCAGCTGGCAGCCTCCGACTGCAAATTTACGTTGTTCGCAATTCCGGATTCTCATATTATTGTTCAGCTTAATAAAGACAAAAATGAAAAAACGAAAGACAAAAAAAATAAAGAAGAAAACACCAAAAAAAAAAAATGAAAATGCGAGAAAGGTGACGACGGGACGGCAGCAGTTCATAAAACGTGGCTAAATGAGTAACTTGACTGTGCCAGTTTTATGGGCCAAGTTTTGCACCTTGGCCATGTTAACGACTGCATCAGTTTCCTGCGTCACGGCCAAGAAGCAAAGTGTTTGTCTTTCTACTTTTTTTTTTGTTGCCAATTTCACTTTTTGTTTCATAGACTTTGCTCTTTGAGCAGGTCAGACAGCTATTGAAAACACTATACTACGCTAAAAATATAAAAAATATATATATATTTACATATTATATATAAAAACAAATTTAAAGCTTTTCAGATATCTAACAAAATCCATTTATTCTGCTTATTTTAAAAGAAAATATCATATATCATTATCTTTATATATATATCTTTGTTTTTAATTTAAAAAGTAAATAACTTAAGTATATAAAAATTAAGTGAATATCATACTTGTGGCCATTTACATATTTATATATAGTACTCCCAGAATTAAACATACAAATGTTTGTTCTAGAAAAACACTTGTTTAAATATAAGTGATAAATTGAAAACATTTTTGTTCTCTATGTGACAATTATTTAATGTATATATTTTATTAATAAATGGTTGCATGCAACAAGTTGAGAGAGAATTGCTTTCTCAATTAATTGTTTTGGATTTTTCGGGCTGTATTTTAGGGAAGGGTGTACATGAGTCGATTTGGCCTTTGTACTTCTTGCTTTTTGTAGGTTCGCTAGTAAATTTTTCAATTTAGGTTATCCCAGAGAAACCGCAGCCAAGTGAAGCCAATGCGAACAAGTTTCAAGGCCGTCGCAATTATGGTTCTGAATAAACCAGCGGCAAAAACACACCCTACGCTGTTTGTTGTGCCGCCCTCTCTTTACTTTGTTGTGTGTGTGTGTGTGAAAGGCGTCGCTTATTTGAATTTAAGTGTGGCATACTTTTAGGTCGGTTTTACAAAATCATTTTCCAGCCTGGCGAAAATTTCAATCTCGCGTTCGTTCGCTTGGCCTACATTTAATTAAAACACAGCACAAACACATACATAGTAAATTTAATTAATTAAAAATACCTTGCTGCATTTACTTAACACAGACACACAGACTTACTCACAGAAATACTCATCACTTCTCTCTCAACTCTCTATCTTTGCAGCCGCGTGACTTTGCCATTAACCGTGGAAGAGGTATGAGACAGAAAGAGAGTAAATAATTGTGTTTGCTTCGTTTTTATGACGTTGCATTCTTTTCCATTTTTGCTCCACAGTATCAAGTAGCACAATTGTTCTCGGTGGCGGAGGCGTCAAAGGACAACACGGGTGGCGGCGAGGGCATTGAGGTATTAAAAAACGAACCCTTCGTTAATTTCCCACTGTTGGGTAAGCTGCCATTTAACGAACGGCACTTGCGACTTTTATTTTGCTTATCCATTTGCGCTTTTCCGTTTTACTTCTTTTTTATAGGCGGCAAATACAATTCCGGTCAGTACACATATAAGATCTACCATCTGCAATCAAAAGTTCCAGCGTACATAAGACTATTGGCGCCCAAGGGCTCATTGGAGATACATGAGGAGGCATGGAATGCTTATCCTTATTGTCGAACGATTATTACGGTAAATATATTCAATACGAAAACTTTTCGTCTCTCGTTTAGAGAACGCTGTAAACTTCTCCAATTGGCATAGCCATTTAAATCCCTTTGATAACTGACTTGCAATTGTGTGTACTAAAGTTACAATGCTGACTGTGGAAGGGCTTTAATAGCATAGAGAAAATGTGCTTTTAGATAAACAAAATATTTTTCAAATTGCAATTTTTCTACTTGATTCAAATTTGTTTTTAAGTTAATGTTTATTTGCTACAAAAACTTTTTTAGTGTTGTCATATTTGATCAATAATTCTAAAATTCGTATTGCTTTTTATTCAATATAAAGTTAAAGTTTTAATCTTGAATTTAAATATTTAGGTTGAATTAAAAGCGAATTCAATTTCGCATAAAAACTTGAAAAGATATATTAAGTTTACTTGAGCTCATAAAATTTAAGAAAACTATTTACGAAACTGATGGGAACATATTTTATATGGAAATAAAACTAAATTGATTTAATGCGGCTTATTTTAGAATCCCAAATTCATGAAAGATGCATTCAAAATAATCATCGACACGTTGCACGTCGGCGATGCGGGAGACTCGGAGAATGTAAGTGAAAAGTTGTCAACAGTGTTTAACTAATTTATGTGTTTCTTTCTTTTTCTTCCATCTCGTACATGATATGTATATTTATATATATACTAACAATATCTTTAAAATACTAATACTAAAATAATATCGAAAACTGTCTTAAAACCGATCATTTTAATTCGTAATTCGTTTTATTGATTATGGAAATTCATTGGGTGCGTTTTATTTGGGAACATTTTATTTATAATTTGGCTGTGAATTGTTAGAATCCCGGCTATATGAATGATAACTTTCGTGTAAATATTGATTCAATACATTTATCCAATGATATTGGCGAATCGAATAACGTGAGTGCTTTGTGTGATAGTAACTATCATTTCACTTTAACTTTGCGTATTTTTTTCTATCATTTTAATTTCTCGCTTAAGAGTTTGTCCCAAATTTGTTTCATGTGCATGCCTATTGATAGTCGCTTGGTACTACTAAACTTATATTGTAATTTTAATTGCTTTGCATGTACTAATCAGCATTTCTTATGTGCCTCTGTTCTAAATCTACGAATTTGTGATCAATATTGTTGCAGGTACATGAGCTGACGCCCGACAAGATGAAAGTGCGCGATGTGGTTCACATTGACATTGCCAATGATCCGATCCTGCCAGCGGATTACAAGCCCGAAGAGGATCCCACCACGTAAGTTATAATGCTGTGAAACAAATTTAGGCGAAAACTACATGTATTTTTTTCATTACTTTCCATTTACCAACTAACTTTTAATTGGTTTTTGCAGCTACCAGTCAAAGAAAACTGGCCGTGGTCCTCTAGTGGGTATTGATTGGAAAAAGCGCGTAGATCCAGTTATGACCTGCTATAAGCTCGTCACATGTGAATTTAAATGGTTTGGCCTGCAGACAAGAGTAGAGAATTTTATACAAAAATCCGAGCGACGTCTCTTCACAAACTTCCATCGGTAAGAAAAAAAAATAAAATAAAATAATACAGAAAAACTAACGCCACATTTATATTAATATTTAATTCCACAATTACAGCCAAGTTTTCTGTTCAACTGATCGCTGGTACGGTCTAACAATGGAGGACATACGCGCTATTGAAGATCAGGTGAAAGATGAGCTGGACAAGGCGCGCCAGACCGGTGAGGTGCGGGGCATGCGTGCGGATAATGATTAATTGGATTAGACAATTTTTAAATATGTACATGTAAAAACACAACACAAACATTATGATAAAACAAAGAAAAAACACAAGCAACTGAATGATATATTAAAAAGGGAAATGCATAAATAAATTTACAAATTAACTTAAACAAACAACAACAAAAGCAAACACCAAGTGTATGACAACAAAAACAAAAAAACAACAACAACAGCAAAGCTTAGCTCTAGTTTAGCGATCACACACAGCCCCCAGGAAAACAATATCAAGCCCGGTAGTTAAGTTTTATTTTGTAAGTAAAATATAATCAGGACACACACATCTCCACAAAAAAAGAAAAAGAAAAGGACACTTTGAATGCACATCCTACCCAATCACAAGCCACAAAAGCCTCACTAATAAAAGTCACACTTTAGCATTAAATATAAAAACAAAAACTGTAAGTGGATAAATGAAAGTTGTTTACATGTATTCAATATGTATTATTGGAGTAATTCGTTTAAGTTGCAACTGTAAATGAAATCAAACTAAATGACAGCTGATGTAAAAAGTTTAACAAAAAACTGCATACAAAATAGTGCATTAAAAAAATCAAATAAATGAAATGAATAAAAAGCGCATCGAAGGCATGCAAAACCAGAAAAGAAAAGTCGAAATAAACTTAACTGATGGTTTGCAAAAACTATAGAACTATATACACACATATATATACATGTACACATATATATACAAAAGAAAGTATTACATTGGAGCATTATGTTTTACCAGAATACATATGTAAACTGTGCAACAGAGTTTCGATTCAGATTACTTGAAAAGGCGTATGTGTGTTCTGCATTGGATTTGCATTTGGATATGTGTCGTTTGAGGCGTAATGCTTAAATTTATACGGAATTTGAGTTCATGAAATATTCAGATGTAGAAGTGCACAGAATGGGGTTTTTATTTTCATTGCGTTATTTAATGTATGCAATATCAATGACAAATACTGAAACTAAGTCCTTTTCATGTTTTCTTTTCTTTTGGAGTTGGCATGTGCCACCAATTACCTGATTGACAGTCTCATACTTGTTGGATTTTCTTTAAATACTAGAAGCATGTGCTCCATTTGTAGATAACCACATCTAGTTTTGAAAATCTAAAACATTTTTTTTTAAGAAAAATATATACTGCCAGATTTGAAAGTCGATAAGTGCACATTACATACTCAATAATACCAAGCAACTAGGGCCCTTCTAATTACTCCGAGTTCCGCTGTAGACACACCGAATACTTCAAGTACTTGCCGCTATATTCTGCTCAAAGTAAAAACTTTATCTATGTATCTATAAAAACGTCCATTTTAAACTAAACCTACTTACGGCTTTTAACACACACACGAAAAATCAACAAAAAAACACGTTTGTATGACACTATTTTGATGAACTCCAACGAATCCCCCAAACTGGAGTATTTGTTTAAAATAAAGTAAGCGAAATACAAAAACATGCTATAAACTTTATTTAAACAAAGCATATAAACCGAAACAAAAGTGAAATTAAAGGAACCTCATAAGCTTAAAGCGTATACAAGAAGCGCAGACAACAAAAACCATTTACATAATGCTGAAAGTGTTGCATATTTAATGGGGCGATCGCGACTATTTTCATAGGCAACAGTGAGACGCGATTTTCGTTGAAATCCAAACACATAGACACTAGTATGTATGCTCATTATAAACACATACACACACATTAGTGAAAAATAAAATATTTGAAACTATGTTACAATAAAATTGCGTTACGAGATGATATTCAAATATATTGTATAAGAAAATTGTTATTTGCTGTGTGAGTTCACGTTCAATTTCGTTGGTTCGTTGATTGGATTATATATTCAGCAATTGTACCGTCTACTACTTACTATTTATGAAATTTACATTTACATACATACATACAAACATACATACAAATATATGCAACATTTTTTCCCAAAAGCGCTCTAAATGTTTACTCGAATTTATTTGTATATCGAAATCTAAAAAAAAAAGAAAACCAACACGAGTACATTTTGTACATTCGTAATTTTATTCTTTACAAATAGGTCCAGGAACATGAAATTCTTATGTGACTAGCATTAGTTTATTCACTGATGATTGACTATTTGTGAAGAGTGTAAAGGCTTCGGCATTGTCGGAGTTAGCTGTTCTCAGTTTTGATTGGTAGCAACTGTCGAGGGACTCAAGTTTCAACAATAAATCCTTTTAGCTCCCATTATTATATCCATAAGATACTCTCATGATATTGGCCGTGGTAACCAAAAACTATTGCACACATTCTACAACAAAATGCAAAAATTAGATTCGAAATACAATTTTAGGCATTTAAAATAAAATTTACATGACGAATCTAGAAAATTAATGAAAACTCAAAACGACAAAATGGAAATTACATTTTCAGAAATACGAGTAATGCCAATAACAGTGAAAACATATATAAAAAAAACTCAATTAATTCAAATTTTCCAAATTAATTCGCGTTTAAAAATTTTCTTAAATAAAAATCATATTAAATTAATTTTAATTCAAATGCCGTTAATTGCATATAATTTGAAAATGTAATACAAATGATAATAATAATTATATATACATAAATATAAATATACACGATAAATTACATTAAATTAGGCTAAACTAAAATATGTACGAATAACAAGTTATAAGCTGTTAAAAACATTAAAAAATACAAATTGTATTGTAGCAAATATTTTAATTAAAAAACTATAAAGAAAATAAAGCATTATTAATTATATATAAACATGTAAACTATATATATATATATATATATTTTACGCACATATATATATGTATATATAAGCGACAATTTTATTATACACACACAGTATAAACATTCATATATTGGTACAGTATTACAACAAAGATACACTTGAAAATATAGATAATTGGCATTTCATTTCTTCACTCGTCCAGCCAAAAGAACTGACGCACCTCCTCCTCATTGGAGGGCCGGCAATGCGGCGTCGGCTCAATCAATGAATTGCGCAGCGCCTTCATAGCCGCCATATTCCTCTTTGAGGCTAGCGAGAGATCAATGATGCGCTCCGGATAATGCACCCCAATGAGACACTCGGCGATCTCCTGCTGTTCGGCCGTCATTCGCCACGGCTCATGGCTAAAAAGTAAAGAGAAAAGAGGAGAATGAGAGAGGAGGAGTTAACCATAAGTGTAAACAAAATAAATAATTGTTGTTTAAATCGTTAAAGTTTTATCAAAACAATCCACATTTTCTGAGTTATATTTATCTACACAAACAAATAAAAATTGAATGATCTAATTAACAAATATTTTAAATTCAATTGTTCGTCTAAATTCTGTGGCAAAAACAAATCGATATTTGCCCCTTAATAAGTATTTAGAAGAATGTGTGTAGAAATTCTCTTAATTTAGAGCAGTTATTTTTCGAAACTAACGAAGAAATAAGAAGAAATGTTATAAAACTTTAGTTCAACGGATTAACAACGAATTCAATACAGACCAAATTAAAAAAAAAAATCGAAAAAGAAACAAATTAAATTAAATTGAATTTTAAGTTTCAACTCTATTTATTGTTTGGTGACCTCTTTTCCAAATTTCACTATGATTAGATTGATTAGTTTCACACTTACATGAATTCCTTGGTCACATTCCGTAGCTCTGGCACGTACTGCTTGATGTAGACGCCATTGGGATCGAATCGCTTTGCCAACGCCACCGGGCAGGAAACCTGTGAGGTGTCGAGCAGCCTTTCAAACGCCGAACTGGATACCCACATCCAATTGCCGGCACAGACAGACCAGTCGGCGTCCAGTAGATATTTGAGAAAATGCTGCAGCCCGAACTCCCAGTTCTGCCAGAGACCGCCACGGGTGAGAAAAGTGGCCACCGTATTGCGTAGTGTATGATGGAGCCAACCTTCGGCAAGTAGTTGTCGCATTGCGGCATCGATCAGTGGAAAGCCAGTCTGGCCGAGGCGCCAGCGTTGCAGGTGATCCTCGTTCGGCTTGGCCCACGGTATGTTCAGGCAGATCTCGTTGCCCTCCATTCGATCATATTGCGGATTATTCACGGACATCGTATAGAAATACTCGCGCCATATTAGCTGTCCGGTGATGTGAGCACCACTAGTCATTTGGACGCCTCGAATACAAGCGCGCAGCTGCACATTCTTGAAGAGATCGTGAACGTTCCAATAGAATCGGCGCACAGACAGGCAGCCGAAACGCAAATGGGCGCTCATCGATTTTGGCTTATCCACAATATTGGGCAATGCCTGGTTGGGCAGATAATAGCCCCGCTCAAAGGCATGCTGCTCAACCTTGAGCCGTTCACCCAGCAGCAGCAGTGCCTGTGATTCGCCACCGACCCAGTTGATCTTCGCCAGAGTGCCCATATTGTCACTGTAGACGTTAAAGTGTTCCGGCGACGGTGTCTTCTCTAAACAACCAATCTCTCTGCGCATCTCGGCAGACAGCTGCACAAAGCCAACGCCATCGAATTGCGGATCATGCACAGGACGTGGCGGTAATCCAATAATATGCACCGTGTGCTGTGGCCAGCGTTTAGACGGGCAAAATTAAAACCCAGTTATGATTGATGGCCACAGTGACTTACCAGGAACATTTGATATGTTAATGGTGCAATGCCGCCATTCGTATCGATGACCGTACGTGGATCCCACAGCGTATGCGATACCATCTCCACGTACTCGATGCCCAGTTCGCGGCACAAATTGTTTATCGCCTCATCCCGCTCGTTCCAGATGGGCTCACAGTCAAGCTCCACGCAGATCTTATGCAGACGCACCTGATCGTGCAGCCGCCGAAAAATGTCCGTCGGCTGACCCTCACAAATAAGCAAGCCACCTTGTCCATCCGACACCTCCTTCAGCTGCTTATCGATGTCGTCCAGCGAGTCCAGCAAAAAGCGCATCCGATTATAGCCAACGCTTTTCGTTCCTGAAGGAGTGCATAATGTGGATATAATTAGTGTGTCCCTCGACATATCTTAAGGAATTGATCATGTGAAAGAATAATGGATTACATATGATGGTGCGGCGTATGGGTAATATTTCGAGGCACCAACTTTGTTAAATAATCAAAAATAAAATATGCCATATATATTTAAAATACAATTGCAAGAAACTTGATTAACATACAAATTATATTATAAGAGACACATTAAAAAAATGTGAAGAAAATTGTAGCTCTAATTGCAATAATGAGATGAGTAATTTTTAATTAGAAAATCAAAGGCATACCTACAATAAAAATTGGATTTGATTAAGAGAGGGCGTAAAAAAAATCTAAAATATATAAAACAGAAGGCATATATAAAGCAAATGAAAAATAAGAAAATGTAACAAGTAAATCGATAATAATACAATAGTGGAAGTGCAAGTTAGTCCCACAATAAATTACAAACAGGCCCATTAGCAGTATATGTATGTATATATTAATTTTTCAAACTTCAGAAATAATAATGCAGTAAAGGAAGGGCAAAGGTATACCACCGACAAAAATAAACAATCCCTCAATTAAGTTTCAAATCAAAATTTGCCAAATAAGGCATTCAACTAAATATTTTATTGGGGCAAAAAAAAGAATAAAACATTTGAAGACTTTGCTTTCAAAAGAATAAAAACTCAGTTTATTTATTTAAATATACAAAAAGTAAATTGTCTAAGAATAAACAAACACTGATAATTATACGTATTTAGTTGTATATAACTTGTTTACATGCAATTTGAACGTGTTTACCGACTTCATACATATATGCACATATGTATGTGGATATGTATTTTTGTTTCTATATGCACAAGTAATTTTTATCTGACAAAGTCGCTCTGAGCAGCGAATCGCATACGATTCAGTTACGTCCTACGTTTTCACTCTTGCTCACTCTCCCTCTCGTGAGCACACAAAGTGCATTAGAATGCATTGTGTTTTATTTATTCTTTTTTTCTAAACAAAAGCAAAGCCAAATTATACCTAAACATGCCCCAATTTGCTGAACTTGTATACAAAACAAAATATTTTGTTATTAACAAAAAAAAAATAAAAAATCGCAGAGTTGTTCTATCATCTATTAGCCAGAAATGTGAAATGTGATGCTCACAAATGCTTGGGCATGTGATGTGTTTGTTGGAGACTTACCCGCGCTCTCGCCATCGAATATGAATATGGGTATCAGTGCAATTCCGTAATCTTTGTCAGCTAAAGCGGACAACAAGGCGGGATTGTCGTGCAGGCGGAGGCCATGTCGAAACCAAATCACATTTGCCCCACGCAATGTCATTGCTGATGTTTAATTTCGATGATTACTTTTTTGTTTTGTTTTGTTTTGTTTTTATTTTTTTTAAGTTTCAACTCGCCAAACACATCGAATGTACGCAATTTGTATTTAACAAGTGTTCTCCGTGCATGCGACGCGCTCGCGTCAACGTTCAATTTGCGAATGGGGCAACTGTGACGACGTGGATTGCCGACAACGACTAAAGCTCACCGGGGAGCTGGCTGACTGACTGACTGACTGACTTGGGTTGCTTTGACGCGGTTCTCATCGTTGTCGAGTGCGTCAATACAAAAGCTGAGCGCGTGTGTCCGTGTGTGTGTGTGTGTGTGTGCGAGTGTATCTGTGAGTAGCAATGTGTGAGGCAGCAGCGGGAAGCACTTAACACACAGCTCGTTGCATTTTGAGCACTGCAATACGCTCAACTTACCAGAGACGCCCCCGTCACCGCACCGCCCACCCCCGCCTGGCCATCGCACCCATGCGACAACAGCAGCAAACGTCAGTTGACTACCGACCCCAAAGTTCAGAATTGCAGCCACAACTGTTGCTGCTTATTACGTAGCATGCATTTATATGACTTCACCCTATATACCCTATGTCATTCAGTGTTAACAAATTTTGAATTTGTATATTTTCATCAACATGAACTTTAACAAAAATCATCCCTGTGAAACTCAAAAATATATTTTGGTTATTAATATTGACAGTTTATTTAAGAACATTGAATACACTTTGTTATTAAACAAACAATTGCCGCAAATTTGTCTATAATAATTTTTTTTTTAAGAAAATATCATGCTTTTGAGATATTTTCAATATTAAATGGAATTTCTTAGTATGAACTGATCTAGCATTTGTCAATATACTCGACTCTTAAATGTAGAGTATCTAATGATTAACTACTTTTAAAAGTTGGAAATGTTAAGCCCTGTTATCATAAAAAAGGAAAATAATATAATTTAACGGCGGTCATTTGTAGTAAAATATTAATTCACTTGTGCGTCGTAGCGTCGTATCGAACGAAGGAAATCAATGTAAAATATTAATATAATAAACTAATAAAAATATAAGTGTTGCGCAGAATACGTATTTATATTGAATGTGGAACTATGAAATAGAATATCATGAAATAAGTATATTCTGATGCCATTTAACTTTTAACCATGGTTGGGTATCTAGAAGTCGACTGCTCCCAACAATTTGATTGTACTTGTTTCAAAGTTGTAGTTGTGGAATCGGCAACGCTTTGCTATGCCAATCAAAAACCTAAACCGACATCAGGCTTTCGGCTTTCCCCTTGTTGTTTGTGTACATTGCAAACTGCAGCTTTGCATGTCGCTCAGGTGAATTGTCGTTATGGGAACCGGTCAATATTGGTAACTATTAACTGCCATCGCCTGTCCACTGCCCCAAAGCCCAGTGGCGCACGTGACACACGTGCCCAACTCGAGGGATGCATCAACAAAAGCAACTCGCAACAAAGCTTTGGCATTTAAATGAATGAAGATGCAGGCGGCAATGAAAGGAGACGTGCTTCAAAAAAGCTGATAACAAATGAAAAACCGTACAGTGGAAAGGTAACCACCACATGCATATGCTTAATGTGAATGAAATTATGCCATATATATATATATATCTAATATAGCATATATAATTATACAAATAATTTGGCTTTCATCCAAATTGATATTAATAACTAATTGGAATTAAAAAAAAACCAAATTGAGCAAAGTTAATTAATTTAGAATTAGTATAAATAAAAGAAAGCTTTCCAAAATGTTGTATTAAGAAACTTTTATAATTGAAAGTGTATAATTTATCAGAAACAAGCTAAAACGGATTTTGGATTTCGCAGTAAGTTATAAGTCCATACTTTTATCTTAAGTAAGAATAGGTTAAAATAAAAAATAAAATTTAATTACAATACTATAAATTAAATAGCACAAAGAAATGAATACAATATATAAATTGTTAATTGTATACAAAAAAGGGCTGATTTTATTATATATTTTATATATTCTTTATTTTATTTAAATGTGTAGTGCATCAAATGATTTCGTCATATTTCTGACCACCTTAAAGAGCATTTTTGTCCACTGTGCTTCTGTTGCTACGTAATCAGCACAGGTGCGCCGCTTTGAGTCCATTGCGCTCCTTGTCCCAGCTGCTGCTGCTGCTGCTGCTGCTGTTTGTGACCTGCCAGTTGCTTCCTTCGTTCATTCGCTCAACACATCAACAAGGACTTGACGGGCTTCATTCCTTTGTGCAATCAGTACAACATACACCCAAACACACACACTCTTGGGATGTGTTCGGCATCTTCTGGCTGCAGTTGGCACTAGTTGTGTTGATGCTTCGTTACTTTACATCATGGCGAGTCCACGTTCAGGACACTGAAACGAATTGTGTCCTTTAGCTTCTTGTTGTGCTGATTGTTAAATCAAATTTATATAATATTTTCTAGTGCATCAGCAGAGTGTTGTGTTTTGTAGTTTTATGTGTGTTCACCGTCTGCCATTAGATAATATTGCAAGCATTTGTTTATGAAATATATACAGATATAATCACGGGTGGTAGTTCTGAAACAATCCCTCGCCGATTGTCTTATGCTTGAGAAAGCTATAGTAAAATGCGCAGACAATCAATCAAAACTGTTGCCGAGAGATTGGTAGGAATAAGTATTCGCATAAGAATTCGAATTTGACGTCATTTAATGATGTGTTTCATCACATGCTTAAACTCAACATGCATTTGAAAAGAGAAACGCAGACGATTGGAAAATTTTAAATGTTTTTGACGTCCTATTTTCTTTGTCAAGGAAATGGAAAGTGGCATTGACGTCATTCCACAATGACACAACTAAGGATTGCTGACTTAAATAAATACGCACGTGTCTCTGATTGGTGTATTTATTCTGTATTTATCCTTTGAAAGGGTACTATGAATTTGTATAACATTGTAAAGAAGGCATCTCGGACCCCTTGAGGTATTTATGTATGTATATATGTATGTGTGCTTAGAGTATTATCAAAAATATTGCTATTTTTTCGGCATTTTTTAAGGTATGCATGTTATTAAAATTCTTGTCGGCCTTCCAAAACCAAATCCGATATTCAATTGGTAATCCACGAGTACCATAACATGTTTGAGCTAATAGTCGTTCTGCTAAGCAACTTAAGGCGATTATGACGCAGACATAACAACGAATAAAAATTTCGCATTGAATCAAAGCAATCAAAATAAGCCAATGAGCTGCTCAAGTTGCAAATCCTTTGACTTAATCGCCTTGATACCCACTCTGTACAGAGTAGCTCACAATAGTTCCACATATAGACCAATACATACAGCCTTATGTACAAATGTGTGTTTGACTCTAAGCTTATTTTTTCCTTTATACATGTATGTTTATCTCTCTCTCTCTCTTTCTCTCTCTCTCTATCTCCCTCTCTAATATGAGCTGTCTTTCTCTTTACTCCTATGTTTCTGCTGCCCCTTTTCTTACTCAACCCTCCAGACCATTGTTGACATGACTAATACAAGTTAAACAATCGAATACGTTTGTACGTCCGTACACACAGACTTATCAATCATACGCACCGTTGAACTTGTGTTTGCAACACACACTCACACACACATAACCACGTACTTATTAGAAGCAATATTAACTGTTATTGTGCTCTGGTCGCAACCATTATTCGCAGCACAATCCTCTTCAAATGGGCAAGTCAACTGTATTATGAAGTATGATATTAAGACCATTTTGACCATTTTGACCATTTGCACAGCACAATTGCATCGATTTCATCAATAGCACTTATGTATTAATATATACATATCACACTTGTAATTTGTACATATACGCATGTCAATATGTTCATAGTTATATGACCTTTACTGCGCTCGTCAAGCGTATTTTTACTTTTTGCGGCTGCAATAATTATACATTTTAATTATAAGTAGGCATTTTATACACTGGCGGAAAACTTAATGATGTTATCTTAAAATTTTGTAAAGCCTTATAGTTGGACTTTCAGATCATATCGATTATAAGTCCATTAAAAATATTTGGAGTATTTTGACTAGTAGAACATATTTTATATATTATATTCTATTTAAGGATAACGATAATTTTTAAAACATTGTCATTCGGATTGAACAATCACAAAATTGTTTCTATTTTTTTGATTATTTCACTATTCACTATTCATTTAAAATTCGTTTACTACATTAGTATACCATTAATACATTATTTATCAACGCAGTAGATAGCTTTTCTTCACGGTCTTTTGAATTCTTAAAAGTATTTATTCACGTTAAATGCAGTAATTTAATTTAAATGTATATAAATACACGATTATTGTTTAATGTGTTAATTAGCTGCTGCCAATAAAAACAATAGAATAAACTGTCACAAGTCGGCTTGACTTGTGAAATGCAACAATTCCCCAGATTGCAATGAAAACAGTTATGGCAAATTATTTGCATCAGTTGTGTTTGAGTTTACATTTGGCTTTAAAATCAAGCGAATTATCGAACAGAATCATTGATGCCTGCCAATTGGCCTTAGCCAAATGTACACTTCAGGGTATTTAGATTCCATCATATCTGTATGCCGTATTCCATTTGCTATTGTGGTGTGGTTATGTTATTCTTGTTGCCGTCTATTGTTTATTTTAAGCCAAATGCCACACTCACAAACACCCACATGGCCATAATTGACATAAGTGTGGATGTGTGGATGTGTGGATGTGTATGGATGTGCGTGGATGTGTCTGAGTGTGAATTTATATTGGCATGGGGCTGTCAGCAGCAGGCAACGCAGGACTATATCTGCTGGCAAATATGGTTATAGCATGGCTCCAAGCAAACGCATTTCAATCATCCAGTGCACATCCATCTGATTCCTCAGTTGAGAGTCGCATCGTACGCAGGTTAAGTCAGTCGAATTTCGTAGTTGATTTTCAAATTGTAAATATTGTTTTATGTCTGTTTGATCGCCACCTCTTCCTTCACCGGTCCTTACTCGACAACCCTCCCTCTGTAGACACAAATTAACTCTTATAAATATTTATGAAAAGTAGCCGCGGATTCCTTTATGAATTCGCTCGGAACTGGGCCTAGCTTCGACCACAGCATGACTGAATTGGTTGGTCGAACGAAGGCAATTCCTTAAGTTTTAAAAGTAGGTCGCTGAAAGGGGGTACAGAGCAGTCTGGTAGCTGCGAACGTGGAATATTATTGAACTTCTGCCAATTGCACTGTGATTTAATACGGTTGCTGCGAACCAGTGAAGTCCAGTGAAGTTTTCGTCCGAGAATGTTTTACATTGTTAATTAATTGTGATATACTTGGGAAA